GCAAGGGTGATTTTACCTTATACTCACCTTATGCTTACGTTCGCAGAAGGTGACCTCTATCACCTCTAAAAGAATCACTTTCAAAAATTTATCTCTACATTTGTATGTAAGTCAAATTCTATACAAGTCCAATATGTGCTATTATAAACGATCACATTCCATAATTCCATTATGTCATTTGCTATTAATTCAATTGATTGACTAAGTGTCATTTCCACATTCGGCGGTCCCACTTATCTCTCATGAAGGTCTACGATAAGATACTTCTGCATTTGCAGATCATTCAACAAGATGATCGAACTAAACAACTAATGCTAACTGTAGTCTTAATGCTGCTTTCGAAACCGCGTTTGACTAGTGCAAAACAGCGAGTTTTGCTTCCTCCATTGACTTGATTTTCGTGGTTTACATATCTAACTCGTAATCCTCGGAAGCACCAAAACTTGCAGCTCAGCTGAAATTGTTTCAGAAGACCAACCAATTAATGCGTTGGGAGACCATGACCGGCCAGACTCGAGTTCCCGCACGTGAAATGAAGTCTTCCTCTGACTTAGAAGTGATGTTGTGCTACACGTCCAACTTGAGGGTTAGAAGAAAAGTTTCTCTGATGTATTATTTTTGTCATTTAGAATATAAAACTTGTCCTCTAAGATTCAAGTATTAAAGGCATGATGAAAAGACAAAATAGATAGGAAGACTCCGTCAATCCTTAAATGGAGGACACCAAGTGGTAGCATGGTGCTGAGTCTGCATAGTACGGCAATGGATATAATTAACTAGAACACCTAAAGTACACCACTTATTCACATCAAAAGATCCTAAACTAGTTGAACATCTAACTCCATACTGATTGCACCACTAGTGTTGCTTATGTAACAATGATATAGGTTGCATAATATGATAAGTATATTGAAACGATTCTAGCATACTGATTGCACCACTCGTGTTGTTTATGTAACAATGATTTAGGTTGTATAATATGATAAGTATATTGAAATGATTCTAGCAGAATATGGTTTGGTTTCACACATTCTTTCACAAAAATATGTACATTGAATGCATACATTGTTGGATATAATCCAAAAGTGAGAATGACAACCAATTTACTTTATCCATGCTATATTAGACATTAGCCGTTGCCATTAGACTCAGGGCCATCCAGAAGATGGTAACCCCAAACATATCTTGATAATGTTTTGTATGTGAGCTATAGACTCCTATGCCATATCTGCCTTTATATCAGTAATGAAATAATGAGTAAGAAGCCATTGCCTATGACCTAGTACCAAAATCAATGGCTTATAATGAACAAGGGTGTAGCTATCTTTAAGGACTTCGTGTAGTTTCTCATATGTCTTTAGGATGGAATTACTTTTTGACCAGCTCTGGTGACACACGGAGTGTCTTTTCCTTTCGCTCTGTCTTCAAAGAAATGCAAAGCTATTTTTTGGTGCGGTCACATATTCGCTTCTTTTCGGTAACTATAAATATTACCTTCTCTTTATGAGCCACATCACTTTGAGTGGAGACCTTGGCATACCTTTTCAGTCCTTCTAGCCGTATACATCATTAGCTTTTGGTCGGCTTTGGGCACACAAAGTAAAGAGCACAAAGAATTAGAGAAAAATGCTTACAGATATTTTTGGCTTTTCTCTTGTGCTAAGAATGAGCTTATCTATGAGGCAAACAAGGGGGAAAAGTGAAAGAGGCTTCAATGACCGAGGGCGAGACACATTCTTACCCACAGTTCTAATTGGAATCCAACCTGCTGCAGAAGAAGAGAGAGAGAGAGGACAACCTAATCATGGCAAATATTGATATGTGATTATAGCACTCGAAAAGAGTAGAAAAAGTTTGAAGTTTTTTTGAAGAACAACTTGTCAGAAGAAGTTGAATTCATCCAATATTATGACATCCATTGTGAACTACCACAACGTTTCGAAAAAAACATGCCACCGATATTCGGGCAAATTACTTCTACTTGACGCCCGTGTGCATCATTTGGATAAAAAGCTTTTCCATATTAATGGTCTTGATCTGTATGAAGTCAAAATCCATGCCTACGAGAGGAATAGCAAAACGTACAGTCACCTAGTCGCGAGTGACCGACCATACGTTCGAGTGATGTTCTTACCACAACATGAAGAGTTCCTCTGTGTGACGTTACCTCATAATGTCTTCGGAAACGAGAGTTCCCTTCATTTAACAGTTTTCTGGATTTAGTTTTGAGCACGCACGTGAAGGCATATTCTAACTTCGATCTCATTTTTCGAAGCACTTCCCCTCACCGTTTGTTATATTTAGGCGATCAGCCCTTCTGTAATTAATGTTCACTCGAACAGGGGCATGGAACGGTGAACGGATGTTAAGAGGACGTGTTTGCGTGTCCTAGCGCATGGCATGAAAACAGAGATCTGAAAGTATTCAGGAGTACTTTCTGATTGCTGTGTGTGAGTGGCTGGACGTACAACAGCTTTCGTCTTTTCAGGCTGATATCAGGAGGACTGTAAAACACAGATGCACAACGTAATTATGCTAAAAGGTTGCGCATCCGATCCATCACGGAAGCCCGCCCGGAGATACTGAAGTACACCTTCCACCTAATGATCGTCGAGTCCTGTCATTCCCAACGACGGCGCTGCAGATGCAGATCAGATCACCCAAATCAACAGACATGCAGAACGACCATAGCTTCTGAAGCTTCTCTCCAGTAAGTAGTTTGTCAACTACTTACTCTCGCCCGGGAAAAAGGGAGACGCAACGAGACAACTCTCGAGTCCCGTAGTGGTCGGGAGTGCTTCCAATTGCTGCCAAGGAGAAGAGAAGAAGTGAAAGTCGCGTGTCTGGCGGCCCAACTGCTCCCAGAGTGGTCAATCATGCGAGGTGAAGTTTCCTTATGCACTAACAGAATCTAATCGATACCTTCAAATCGTTGTCATGTTACGTGGTCTGCGGGAGAGGGGATTAGTAGACGTCATGTCATGAGAATCGAATGCTGCTAGCCTACAAGCTCTAGTATCATTTACACTAGAAACCAGATGGAAAGAATGTTGAGGTACATTTGTCATCGACTACCTTCGGCGAGCAACTTGTGTTGAGTACCAGAGTTCTGCTGTGTCATGTGATGCTCATAAGTTGCTCAGAGCTGCGAGCTTCATGCTGTATATCAAGATGGATTATGAGTCAGATTCCAGTGAGATGTGAGTAGCCTTTTTTGTCTGACTCACCATATGGTTAAACGTAGACCATCAAACCATTGCTTAGGTGACAGGATCGTCACCGAGTAAAAGCTTTGGCGAGGTGGTTGATCACCAACTAGTGGTTGAAAGCTGCCCCACTTTTGAGCAGAATGCGGAAGTGAACCATCATGGTCGGTAGAGGGATCCTCTTGAGGCAAACACAAACCAATATTTTGGCCCAAAAGTAAAGCTCTTTGACTAAAACGTGCAATGCATATCTTTGCCTGTAAAGGGAAAAGACCAACGAAAGCCTCTTATCTCGATAGACTTTTATCTCCATGCATCTGACAGTTCCATGCAATTGTCAGATACATCTCACAGCTGAACTTTCCACATCCTTCGAACGTAGTTCGAGCAAAATATCTTCTTTATACCTCCAAATTTTTGTTGATCTTTAAGTGCTCTCACTAAATTTGCGTCAAACACAGCATCCGTCTAAAGCTTATCCGGAGGCGTAATTATGCAAGCTTGAATAACATAATCATGGACCTCTCTGTTCCACATGAAATCTACGTAATAGTAAATTTCGCCAAGGTTCCAAAGCATCACTTCTTCCACGATGCGAGGTTATTTAATAGTCCATTTTGACGTTCAGATAAGATCTCATCGATGAGAAAATGCCTGCTCCGGGTCCGTTGTGTCTAAGTTAGGAAAATTGTACCCTTTGGTCAGAGCACCGCTGCACACGAAGCACATCTATATCAGAGGTTTTGCTACTGTCGGCTGGACTACAGAACGAGGTAATCTAAACAGAAACAAGCTTTTGTCCAAAGCCGAAAGGTTGTCTTCCAGGAAGCGATACACAAAATCTTGGGGAACATAATTTTTTCATTCAGAAGAAGAATGATAGTAAGAATCACAGTGCTTCAGTCTTGCAAAAGAAAGAAAAAGAGAGAGAGAGAGAGAGAGAGAGAGAGACTCTGGTATTGTGGAAGGAAACAGGAAAAGGTACTTTTGGTGTTTCATTTAGATGTGAGTTCAGAATTTTCCAAGACTCCAACTGGCAACGATGTCATTTATAGTTTAGACCTCACATGTTCACCTTGAAAGCAAGGTGAACATGTGGTTTTAAAAGGTGCAATATCTAAACAGGAACTGCGTGAAAATTGACTGACTCAAGAGATGCAGTCTTGAGTTGAACGACAATTAACTCGCCGTTGAATACGATGCATGCTTAAACATGTGCCAATATGCAATGGGAGAGGAATTCCCCTTACAAATAGAAAATGAGCATTGAGAGTTGGGACACCGGCATATTCAGTTCTCAAACCGTCACTTCTCCTTTTGTCTTTGCCAAGATATAAAACAAGACCAATAAAATTGGAGTCAATGTGAGTGAGCACTTGGCACTGAAGTTGGACTCAGTTTACATATCATCATCAACTCACCTCCTGATCTTTCCGTTGTTTTGGAAGTCTTCCTATTTTGCTCACTTCTTTGTTGTAGGATCAGAATGGAGACTCTATCTGTCCCTCGTGGATGATGAAGTCGAGACCTCATTCCTTCCAGAGGAGTACAGGTATTGAAGGTACTTTGAGAGAGAACAAGAATGCAGGCCAAATATATGTGTTATTTAAAGAGAAGCTATCTTGTCATAACCGACTGAGAGCTTTTGATGACATTTTCCTGAGAATGTCAGCGTAGAAACAACCTTTTCATTCAGTTAAGAAGGTGATAAGTGGACACTGATTCGGTTGTTGAGACTTCGGGTCCAGAACAGATGATGAAATTGCATATATTGACTCTGCAATCCATGAAATGGTTAAATAGCGTTGCAATCGAAATAAATAATATGTTAAAATTCTACAACCTGTAATATCATGTAAAGTGCTTGACCAATCTTCCTGCACCTCGGTGCGTTGATCAAAAGGAAACAACCAGGCTTTTCAGGTTGAGAAGCTGATTAGCTTCAAACTAACCCTCAACTCACCAAACTGCCCTCTCTACCTCTACTGGGGGAGCAGCCGTAACAGCAAGCAGCTCTTCTCAGCCGCCTGTATTTCTGCCAGTTCTGCCCTCACAGTTGCAGTCTCCCATCGTTTTCTCATATCTGCGAGTTGCAGCTCCAAAAAGTACTCCTTCTTCTCTACCTCTCTTTTCTGATCTGTCAGAGCCTCCACCTTGGCTCGTAGGTCTGAAACCTCCTCCTCAGCGTCGGCAGATGCGAAGTGCAGCTTTAGGCATTCCTGGACGTGCTTCTGCTCTTCCACGTAAAGCCTCTCCATCTTTTCTGCCTTAAGTCTGCTCTCGATTTCAGCCAGCTGGAGCCGTATTATCTCCTCATTCTTTTGTGCAATTTTGTTCTCAAGCTCTTGTATGCGCAAATCTGAACTCGAGTCCAGTGGCGTCGATGGTCCAGGCCGATCATCAGGTCTTACCAAGTCATCATAACGTCGTTTATTATTTGACTTGATTGCTCGACATGGCAGCGTTAGATCCCTCGGGGCTTGTACACTGGACACAGATCGACACCTTCCGGCGTCATGTTTATCTTCAGTCGATGATCCCATTCCCTCGAGGAGCATGGTTTTCTCTGGCCGAGGAGTAAATAGCTCCGTGAGACTGTCAACAGCGATTTCAGCTTTTCGAGTTTCAGCTGTAATCCTCTCGTGAACAGCTCCAACTTTGCGTCTGGAACGCGCGTAGAGGTAGTACATCAGAGGTCCTGATGAGGTTCGAATCTCGTCGGAGTGACTGCGCCGCATCTTCTGCAGTCGCACCACTTCAGCTACAAACTGATCGTACACAAACGCACCCCAGCTGCAGGTCGAGTTGCTGCCATCCAGTGCTTCTAGGAGGAGGAGGATCAGACGTCTGGGAGCGCGAAACTGCTGATCATGGAAGGCGAAAGAAAGAGTTTTATTTAGCAGTAGGAGCAGATCTCGAATCATGGTGTCTTTGCAGGTGGTTACGAGGGCGGTCGTCCAGTTATCTCCCTTGACACCAAACAGGGCGGCGCATCTCTGGGCGGCATTAGACGCATTCGGTCGATCCAGTGGACCTGTCTTGCGTTCCCTTGTTAGACCTGTCATAGAGAGAAACAAGTTGTAATTCGCATCGATTTCCGTTCCATGGATTGTGGTAGTTCTGCTCCTGTCATCCCAATTATCGACGAATTCCTGGCAAACTTTCCAGTCCTGGCACACCCAAGCATCCTTCAAAAATTTGAGAAGTCCCATCTCCTCCAGAAGCAATAAAATCTGGAAATGCCCTTTGCCAACCTGATAGTTAAAAAGCACGCGGACTGCTTCTAAGCCGTTGTCAGAAAGCTGCAGCCAATTGTGAGTTCTCTCGACTCGATCATTTGCCATCGAGGTGCCATGTTTTGGACTCTGCATCTCAAACCCGAGCGCTTGAGACGAAAGAAGAAAAAATATACCGCTGCCTCGAGAAGATCGAGTATCTTGTTCTGTATTCTAATTCTGGAGTTTCTATTCCAAAAATGCTTCTGGTACGTAGCTGCCTCTCTCAATATGTTGACAGTTTCTCAAGTCCACCAGAGCACTGTCTTCGTCACTTATGCACGTGCTCTTGAAGGACCGGACGCCATCAGATCGTGGACACCATCACTCACCTCAGGACATCGCCGCCAGTGCGGTCAACAATGTACAGGCTTTTCCCGAACTGCCGAATCTGGCCTGTCCGTTGTACAACGTCAAGTCTGAGGGATTCATGTCCGTCGGTACACTCGTCCAAACTCGTCCAAACGTGAGGAGATTTGAATTTTAATTTCTGAACCAGAAAGCTTCCAGGGATTGCATCTTCCTTCGCGGCACAGCCACCTCGAAGAAAACCTCGCGATGCAAATTTCAAGCCGTTGACATTCACATATACCCAAGAACCTACGCCCATGCATTGGAGAGCGGAGCAAGCAAACTCCCTCCTTGTGATAGTTCTTGATGGTAGGTTAGAACATGTCAGAGCTCAAGATTACATTCAATTTTACTTCTATGCACAAGTTATGTCCTCTTCTTTGATGTGAGATGAATTCTTCTCTTTTCACGTCTTTCGGGTGAGATCAGAGACGCGAATGCAGACTTCTCGTCAGTCCAGTCGGTGCGATGGGTTGTCTTTGTAAAGAGAATGCAGTGCATAGCACGGTCAATAGGTGGATTGCATCAGATACCTCGATGAGGAGCGGGAAAAGCATCTGTGGATATGAGATAGTTTTGGGAGGTTTTGTTACTTGTAACCATCCCACTAGCATGCAAACGTCGAACGTAGCGTGATCATGAGATCCATAAATCGATGAATCTGGAACAAGAACTGAGAGCTGCCTTTGGACGTCTGTTATCGGTCCCTACCAAGAGGCGGTCGGAAGTAGCTTGTCTTGGGAAGCTCATCCTGTCATGTTTTCTACCTGAATCATCTAGAGGCCAAACTACAAACACGTTATGGCTTAATATCCAGTCTTTTATAACGAGCACATGCAATTCACGGAGCGGCTGGATGAATCTCAGAGGCCAAATATATATATATTGCAACAGTTCATCATTACATTTTTCATGTCTAGTATTCACAGCGACGCCTACTACACTATTCTAGGGTCCTGCTTTGCTATTTTATTTTCTTTTTTGGGGATTCAATAAAATAAATAAATAAATAAAAAGACTTCCAATCTGCCTGACACTATACGACGTACGTTTAGCAGTTCCTAAGCCTGAACATTCTACAAGACCTCACATCGAAATCTTGCAGTCCTTTTTGCATCAGTTGCAACAGTCTAGAATCACATTGTTCATGTCTAACATTCAGAGCGACGCCGCCTAGTACACTATGCCTAGTATCCAGAGCACTGCTTTGCTATTTTCTTTTTCTGTCTTCCCCATTCTTTTCTTAAGGGGTTTTCCCTAAAAAAACTATAATTAATTTCAATCCGCCTGTAACTCTACGACGTACATTTAGCACTTTCTGAAGACTGTACATTCTATAAGCCCTCACAGAGGAATCTTGTAGTCCTCTTTGAGCACATTTCGCTCCGACAATCTACTTCTTGCGATGTTTCCATGAACAAGTCTCAATTATATCACCACTCCCAATCACAACGTTGTCCTATCTTACAACCACTGGTACAAAAGCTGAGTTCCCATAGCAGTCTATCGGATGTTGTCGTGTTCACTGACAGCAACCGAATTCGCATTCAGATCGCATCACTCGTTTCCAACTCTGCCTCAAGTGTGACTTGAAGCATTCCTGCCTGTGCTTTTGTTCCTCGAAGGCTTTATTCAGCCTGTTCCACACGTCCTCCGTGACTTGGATCCCTTCTCCAACAGCGAGCATGCTGGAAATCTCCTCCTCCACGGTCGTTGCAATTTCATGGTTTTGAACGTCCTCCTGAGTCTTGGATGCCAGCTCGTGTGCATTAGTCGCCAGGTTATAATCATCGGCACGTCGTTTACCGAGCATGGAACTCGATGGATATGGTAGCTTCAGTGTTCTTGAGGGCAAGTCAGACGAGACTACATCACCATCATCGTACTCATACAGATTCTTCTCTTTGGAACTGGTCCTGCCGCTGCCACGGTCATCCCTATCTTCCTGCAGGCCTTCGGCACTGTCTTTTGCATGAGCATACAGAAAACACATCAGTGGGCCGGCCAAAGTTTCGAGACGTTCATCCGGATGATTCTCATGGCGGTCTTGTAATTCTCTAATCTCACAAATGAACTTCTCGTATACGCATCTACTCCAGTCCAGCTTATGGCCTCTCATGGACTGGACGAGGAGGTACACCATGTCCTTGGTAGGGCAGTAGGATTGTTTTCTAGCAAACCAAAGGGTCCGATTTAGCAACAGAAGTAAGGACTGTAGAACTGGATCATTGCGGAGTGACTGCGAGATGGGAACCTGCTCATCAGTCTTGTAGACCGAGGTTCCTTTCTTCCCCTCCTCTCCTTGTTTCTCAGAATACGATGACCCAGCTTGACCAGAGTGTTCACCTTCCAACCCTGTCAATTCCAGGAATTGTTTGTAACTAGCATCAATCTGAATGCCATTGGCGGTGGTCGTCTTGGTTTTGTGATCCCAATAATACACAAAATCCTGGCAGACGTCCACCTCTTGCCATTGCCAGACATCAGTCAGAAATCTGAGGAGTCCTATGCTGTCCAACACCAAATAGAGAATCTGTTCGTGGCTGTTCTCCTCGTAAGACGACACTTTACTAACTTCTTCCAAGCCATCGGTGAGGAGAATAAGCCAATTCTCATGAGAGCTTTGCTCCTGGCCTTCTGGCTTAGCATTCTTGGTGGTCTTGGAGCCTCGTTTGGCCACCTCGTGATCCTTGAGATAGAAAAGTTTACGCTTCTTCAGCAATGCCCTGATTGCTGCCATGGTTTTCCTGATAAATAGCATCCCTGAGAGTTTGTCTGTTCCTGCCAGCCAAGTCCCGAACAGACTGATCAATTTGATAATCGGACTTTTCGGTGAATCGCCTGTCGAAATCTTCTCAGCTGCAGACCGCGAACTCTCCGCTTCGAACATTCGATCTATTCGGCCAAAGCTAATATCGAACTGTCTACCTACAGCTAAAAAATCCTTTCGAAGTACAGCCTCTACCTTCTTGCAACAACACCTGAAAGAATTGGATATCGAGATCGCTAGCACGTCCTACGACTGGTTCGGATGAATGGGCCTGACAGTTGTGACAATGAGCACTTTTTGAAGAGATCCATGAGTCCGACGAAACGGACGAACTGTGGAGCAGTGCTTGTCTGGATTACCGTTGTTGCGCACAATACCGTCTTCATCACATCGGTAGAGTACGAGATAATCGCCGAATATTTTGAATTTGAATTCCACATGGAACTAGCTTCCTCAAAATTCTCATGTGTGTTTCTTGATTCCAGTTGATGTTGGGTGTCCACTCTGGTACTCATCTTCGTGTTACTTCTTAGTTAGACATGTTCATAGAATATAGTGTATCATTCCATTCAGTGATTTTTTACCCACCACTAATATTATTGACAAATTTGATATTGTCAAAGGACTTTTGATTTTATTCAAATGATAAATATTAATAATGTAATAAAAAACAAGTAGGTATTAGTTATAATAATTTTTTTAATATTTTTGATTCTATCTAATTGAATATGAATAAAGATATTGTTTCTTAAAGATACAACAACCATGTTATCTATCCATATAAATTTTTTAACTACGAAAGACATGTTACTGAGAAATTTACTTCAAATTATGCATATATGTTTTCTAAATATTATAGTATATTACATTCATTAATTAAATTTTCTGGTTGAAATTTTATTTAATACTTATAAAATGAATTATGAAATCAAGTTTCAAAGTCGGGACAACACCCTTCGGGTGTGAACTATCGCCAGACTGGTCGTAGGTACCACTAGAGCCTGGTGGCTTTACCCCAAAATATAGCCGGGGTATTTCCGATGGGATTAACCAAACCGAATCCTTCAAATTTTCGCGTGCGGGGCCGTCAAGAGCCGCAGAGCCCTGGAGGATTCATGGGGAGAAAACAAGCCCTCGCCGAAGCTGCAGGGTGGCTAAACCTCAAATATAAGACCTCGGCATATCGTCACTTCGTGACTCAACTTGCATTAGCTGAACGTTAGGGCGCAGCTAAACCTTCGTGGATAGCGATCGATTTATGAAATATTTTGATAACTATTGAAATTTTTTTAATCAAGATTCAATTTAGATGATGATGAATTAAAATTTTTGATAAATTTCAAATATATTTTTCCTATCATATCATATATAAATTATTTTTTTGTAGTCAGAAAAAAGCCAAATTTTATTCATAAAAAAATAAAAAGTAAGAGAGCATTCCCATTTTTTCTCAAAAAATTGTGAATTATTTATATTTTGCATGATATAACCCTTTTTCAAGGTCATTTTCAAAATAGTCTATCTTTGTTATTTTGATTTGGTAATTTTTTACTTAAATCTTCATCAAATATAAAGAAAGAATTTATTATGTGATATAAAATAAAGATATCTCTGTAGATTTATCAAGATAATTTTAATATGTAAAATTCTTCGGAGTTAAAAGATTAAACTCCTCTTGTTACTTGTTTAATTTCGGTAATGAATATCAGATCATTTTATTAGCTCTTGATATTTGATCATAAATTTGAATTCAATAGACGTTCTCATTAGTTATTATGAACAGATCAATAAAATTTCCAAAATAAATTAGTGGGATGAAAATTTTCTTAACGGTTAAACAAATTAAATGTCATGTTTTCATTACAATAAAAATGACATTACTTAGATAATAAATTTATGAAAATGTATCTGAGTATAATTGAGAAAGTTATGCAACTATTATTGTTGTTTTTATAAACATCACGTTTATCATTTCAATAAATTTATACTCAATAATCACAATTGAATTACGATTTAAAGAGATTTTTGATCATTCATAAAGTAGATCCATAGTAGTTGTAAACTCGCACTAAGAATCAACAGACCTTGAAATTCTCGTGGAGCATCTGAACGAAGTCGATAGCCTGAAGGCAAGGCAGCATTAAATGACATCGGAAATATGCATCGGGGCGTCGTCAAGAAGAGTCCATCATTTTTATGAAAAGTTCATAGGTACAAAAAATCAATTTGCCTTTGATATCGACACATTCTCTTATTACATAGATTGACTCGGCGACTAAAGTCTTTTATATCCGAACTATAAGTTCAGGTTTCGAAAGTGGCACACAACCATTTCTGCGATGAAAACATCTTTTATTTTCTGCCTACATCTTTGAACATTTGAGTCGAGATCAGGACCGGTCAATGATTTTCCGATGATTGAGCCAAATGCTTAAGCTATTGCAATTACGATGGAGAAAGCCTTATGGGCAAATCACCCTACTTTTTCGTCTCGGTTGTGATAGAGACACTATGTGCGTAAGCTCAAGGCTGTAACGCAACTACATCCATGGTTTTCTAGGTTTAAAAGGTACATTTACAAAGAAAAGCTGTTTCTCATCACTTGAGTTGCATTTCTGGATGGTTGGTGTCACCCCGGCCTCTTTGACTGCTGAAAAACAATAATCTCTGTCTGGGCCAAGTCCGTCGAAAGCATACGGTTTGATTTGCACAATGTAGCCATTTTTGTTTTTGGGAGCACAACCTGGAGCCCTTTTAACAAAAAGATACTCGAACTCTATGAAGCCTGAACCCCATGCGCAAGAATCTGTATTGATATCATCTCCAGCGTCTTCATCATAATCCACGTACACACACGTGGGATAGTACTCGTCCGGATAATCCACGTTGGTGAAGTTCTGTGATATCACGTAGCGAGGAGGCTTATCTGCCAATACCACGAGCCCAAATGAGTAAGAAAAGAAAGAAAGCCAGCTGAAAGAATCATGACATTATCTGACAGATCTGATGTGATACAGACCATTACCACTCTGATCGATTAATGATATAATTCTGAAAGCAGGCTTGCTAAAGAGATAACACGTTAAAAGTAGAGCTGATAAATATGAATGTGCAAACACTGCACCCAACGACATTGGTGAGGTATATGGTGGTCTTTTTATCTTGCATGAACTAATAGAAACGCTTCAGGCGCTGGACATGTTTCTGAAGAAGATAGGCGAAGCTCTTACCTGTCCCCTTCACGAGACTCTGGTTCCAAGTGTAAAGCCAACTGTTTGAGTCAACAGTCTCTACCGTCATCTGAAATATAATTGATGCATATCGATGTTAGATTTCAAAGACTGAGAAATCTACTGTCAAATAGGGGGAAGTAAGCATGTGTCACAAGCACAGAATCTCGATCAGAAGACAAGAGGTACTAACAGACTTACAATATAGACCTCAAGAGCAGAACATACTCCTGGACCAGCATAGAGTATTCAGTTGAAACCTCAAGCTCAAGCATGCATATTATTGTATTTCTGCCAAGGATCTACATAAATGCATTCCAAGGTTGATGTGCAGAAACATGCAGAGAGATGTGGCTCAAGAAGCAATAAGGGTAATTTACATGAAGGTTATTGTCACCGGTGAGAACGAGAGGCCGATTTGGTCCTAAGAGGAGAAGTTTGCCAGAATGGCAGTCGCAGGTAGCGTTCTGGTATGTGACTATGTAGCTCCTGGAATGGATCACAATTGGCTCTGCATTTGCGCTCCGCATGCCTGTCACAATTTGTTTGTTCAGTTAAGAACGAAGATGAGCATGTACACAATACACTTGCAACCAACATGATATGCAGAGTCAGCTGTGCACCAAACATACTTCGGCTTTCAACTTTAGGATGTGAGGCAGAGATAACTTGCCTGAATGTAGAAAAGAAATTCCCAGCACATACGCCATGGCCAGAAGTGGAGACCATTTGATGCTTGACAGATCCATGGCTAAGGTACTGAGGTCAGACTTGCATATGCTGGCTAAGAGGACTTCCAGTTCAGAATGATCGATGGAGTATACTGCTGGAGTCAGAAAAGCAAGTCCATTCTTCCCAAAAGGACTACGGTACGGTTGTGTCAGAGATGGATGTGTGATAGAAGGGCTCTCGCAGATCTCTTTTATACCTCGGTTTTGGCGATTGAGGGGCCGAAGGTGTTTTTGTGTGACTGAGCAAACTTGGGTATGTGCATCAAGCCGTTCATTCTCGTGATTAAACGCGCACAATACGCTAGAGCACTTGGGATTCATTATAATATAAAATGTCTTACTCACATGGCTTTCGGCAACAGCTGCAGTTGTCAGTAGGCACTGTGCTGATAAACTAAGGGTTCATGACATTGTGTGTTTCTTGCCTTCGAGCAATGGAATGCATGCGTGACCAGCTGGTGATTTTATCCCTTTGACTTTCAAAGTTATGCTTGCATAGCTCTGAAAGTCAGAGGATAATATACAGTTCAAATTATCATTGATCATATCTGAGGAAGCATCTGGAAATCGGAGTGTGGCTAACATGGACTGCACTGTTTTGAATAAGAAAATGATCTGACGAGAGAATGAGGTCCAGGATTTAATTCATCGTGTTGTTGTTGCGTGCTCGATTTAAGGAAAACTTAGCTCTACAAGATTGAGATCAGCATATTATAGTCAACATCTACATATCCAATAAATGGTTTGACATTGAAGGATTTTGCGCCATACTTATAACCATAATACTTATAACCATAATCCAACTCATGTTTGATATAGTTAAGCATCCACTTTATTGTTTTTTAATGTAGATATCCTTCATTTGACACGTGTATGCTAATTGTTCCATAAGCAAAAACAACGTTACGCGTATTGCAAATAATCAAATAATGAGTGTTTTTGTTGTCTTTTTTAGTTTAACGTAAGAAAATTGAAACATTAAATATGTTTTCACGTCATCTGGTGGGCAAGGAACTTATGAAAGTTTGAAATGAAAAGTCATAGTAGCTATTAGATACTTGCAATTGCGAGCCGAAACGCCTCACCCTTTAGCATTTGTAATCCAGGTGAGGGTCTTGGTTCACACAACATTACTTTCTCTAATCTTACTAAGTCTTCAGTAAACCTTCCTTCCAGACACCGTGTACTGAATGAAATAAACTATACCAAGAAACGCTTGTGTGCACATGCTGAGACGAGCATTCTCCATTGGAAGATAAACAGTAGAAGTCCAGGTGACCATGCACATCTCCAGGACAGGCCTTGGAGTGCAAGTTGTGCTCGATAGCATCAAGCGAAAGGAAGACATACAATGTGCACACGTCATTGGCAACCTAAAGGTATTGAAATCATTCCCATAAATTCCAAACAAGGATTTCTCAAACCAACTTGCAGCTAGGAAGTTGGCAAACATTTAAGATTGTACTAGAAAAACAAACTATACTCAGATTTTGTCTCCATCTTCACCCTTAGAATTTGTCTCCATTTTCACCCTTAGATTTTGTTTTCATTTTCACTATCAGATTTTGTCTCCACTTTCACTATCAGATTTCGTCTTCATTTTCACCCTTAGATTTCGTCTCCATTTTCATACTCAGATTTCAAACTGAACCTTCCAAAAAAGAAGTACACCCACTATCTTAGATTTTTGAATTGACACTCTTTCTCAGAACCGACCTCACCATTCTATGTCTCAGATTTTTTTGAATTGATCACCACTCTCAGATTCGACTTGATACTTCCCCTGATTTCGCCTGCACACTAGTGTCTCACATTTTGAATTGACCACCTTGTTAGATTTCACCTCACCACTATGTCTCTCAGATTTCGAATTGACCACCTTCTCAGATTTCACCTCACCTCATCTCTTTGTCTCTCAAATTTAGTGTTACTCCTTCTCTTCTCTATGGAGAACTCTCTCTCGAATTTCACCTCTACCCCATAGAGAATCACATTTCTAGATTTTGAATTAACACTCTCTCACAAATTTGGCCTGCACACACTCTTCCTAATTTCAAATGGACACTCTCTTTCAAATCTCAAATTTTCCACACTGTCACTGATTTCGAATTGACCACACTCTCTCCCGGTAATTCTCCCTCTATGAACCTACTCACGCATTGCCCGCTTCCGAAAACTGAGCGACCCCCCACACCCACGGCAAGAACCCACCCGAACCGCCCAGAGCCTACGGCCGCAACCTCTAGCACCCCCTAATACATGGCAAGCGCTACACGGTGTCACCCGGCACCCCCACACACTACGTGACACGAGACACTAGAGACCGTTATCCGCACCCGCTTGGCAATCGGATAGACAACCCATGCATCGCCGACCTTGATACATTGCACAATCTTCAACGTTAATTTCAAAGCTCGCCTTCCAGTTGTATGTATATCTGTCTGTTCTGACTATCGTACACTATCGCTCTCTAATCTCTTGCCCACTCTCTTCCCTAGTTTCTATTCGATTTGCTGCACTGGCCTCGCGTCGAGCGCGACGAGCCGCACTCTTTCTCCCCTCATTGAGCGCGCTGCTAGGCAGCCTCACCTAGAGTACGTTTTTGAAGTTTCTATTCTGAGTTTTCATATTTCTGAATAGCTTCGGCAGCTTCCTGTAATTCTCGACGACCTCTCAAAGCCTCACAATTGCTCATCAACTGTGTCCAGCTGGTTTTTGCATGCATCCCTCTCATTCTTCGCTTCAGCCAATTCCATTGCTAGTTTCGATTTTTCTTCGACCATCTCTTGGAATTCAATCTTCAATGTTTGATTCAGGTTTTACAATTGAGCAATTTGAGACTGCAGGTTGTCCTCATCTTTCCTCTCGATCCGGCTCCTCTTTGTAGGCACATCGGTGGAATTCTGCATCACCTTCGTATCGCGGCCACTAAATACAACCACTCCATATACATATACGTACTGAGTGTTTCGCAGCTTCAAGTCCCTGAGAAGCATTTGCTGGAGTCAGAGGGACAAAGTCTCGCCCTCACTTGTGATGTTGCCTATGAAGGTATAAAGATTGGGATTGGGATCCTCAGTATTCATGTCCGCATGAAATTGCCCGAACTCGGCATCTTCATCTAACTCTATCGCGCGTTCCAAGGACCTCTTTAATTTCAGGTTAGTCTCGCCATCAAGATTCGTCGTCTCAATGTAGCAGATTCCATCCGGGTATGCGGAGGAGAGCATGAGCAGATCGGCCGGAAAAAACTAATCCTTTCCCACCTCAACGACATCTCCCACTCTCAACTTCTTCCACGCTCTTGCTTTGAATTTCCCCTGTCCCGAGTGTACCTTGATCTTCCGATTGTTTATTTCTTGATCTTGAGTGAAACGACGAGAATCCTCGACGGCCTCTTTGATCATACTCACTCCCACGACAAAAAGAAGGGGAGCAATCAAACTGGCAGCTGAATACGGAGCAACGGGAGTGAGAGAAATTGCTCCCGCGAGAAGAAAGTAGAGATTGGCCACCCTCCGAAACTGCTCAAACAGAGCTTTGGGTAAAAAAGTAATGAGGTTGTATTTGGTCGTCGAGACATAGTTGGATTTGTACTTGTAAGCCGGTTGTTGAAAATGCTTCTCCGGGGTGTTACAAAAAACCACTATGGAAAATTCCGGCCCTCCTCCCGCAGGAAACTCATCTGTGGTGCCACCACCTGGTCTTACACAAGCTGTGTACGTGTACAACTTACTGAACCGCATCCGTTTTTTCCCTCGACTTCGCGACCCCCGAGCCATGGTTCTCGGTCCAGCCCACAGGCACTCGATCAGGCAGTGCTCTGAACCCTGATGTCACAGGCCTCAGATCCGCGCTTGGAGCTAGACAGAGCTTTTTTTTTTCCTAAGTTTTGTATCGCAAATCTACAATCGTCCACTCTTAAGCACCGAATTGGGGTGACAACTACTTCTGACCTACTTCAGTCGTGCCTTGCAACCTGTGTGGGCAAAACCCCTTCGTAAAACAAGACTCCACCGATCCCCCCACCCAGAGGAGGAGACACCACCTCAATGAGGTGCTCAAATCAGGACGCAGAACCAGGATACGAATAAATTCCTGGTCGAATGTCCTGGATCAAATTCTAACTTTCCGTCAGCGAGCGCTGAAGCACTGACCAAGGACGAGCAATGAGTCTCCGCGTCACAGAGGCAGAATCGGAGTCAGCTTCACAATCATCCGCACAAGCTTCGATTCCCAGTAGGAAGAGAAAGCAGACTATTCCAGAGTAGCTGGACAGATTTCGAGAACGGCCGGAGGAAAAAGCCATCATCATTCAACATCTGCCTGGCAAGCCCCATTCCATTGTGGCACGAACGAGCTTTGAAGAATCTACCATTCTCACCGTGCCTGACCCTTATGGTGGAAGGAAATTAGCTAGTCTCCACTGTAAGAGTGTAGAATGTGCTGTCTCTACTCGCTTCCCTCACTCAACCTCCTCCCCTCTCCTCTCTAAGTTCTGAAGCCAGGGAAGGGATCACACAATCCCGGTCGAAAATTGGATTCGAAGATCACCCCTACCGCTAATTTCATTCTCAAAATTCTCCTCCTCGAATCTGCAACCGCTCTGCCCCAAGTCAATCTACCTGTCCACTACAATCTTCAATCCTTTATGCTCACCGTCATGAGTGGATCCAAGCGACTCCTTTGTTGGATTGTCTCTATGCTGCGTTCTCTAACTCCGGTACTCGCCGTCTAGAATTCCATTGTGTACGATTCTCAACGAACCATCGCAATTTTTGTTTCTGATTTTGATTGCGACATTACGCTGCTTGCCATCCTCAACACCTACCAATTCCCGTAACCGTATTTCTACTCTGTATTCCTCCGTTTCTTTACTAGCAATCGTATGAACTCATAATCTTCCAAATTGAAAATTCAAAATACAATTTTTCAAGATTTTAAATTCAAAATTTTAATCTCATAATGTTAAAATAATATGCAAATGTATTTTTGTACTCGCAACAATTTTTTATACTAAATCTTGCCAATAAATTTCTAACAAATTCGCTATATGTTGTAGTTTTTTATCTTTCAATATTCTTTAGATTTTCATTATCAAAATCAAAATTTTGCAACAAAATCTTTGATTTTAAACTTAGATTTCAAGTAAGTTTGAGCTTATTAACATCTAATCTATTTCTAGCTCCAATAAGCATCCTATTCATATAAATTACTAGAATAATGAAGCTAAACATTTCATAATTAGTTTTTTTTTTATCTATACACAAGGATCAAATATAGTTTTTTTTAATCCTTGTGGACTCAATCATAAAATCGCTTACTCAATCTATTATGGGGGGTTTTTTTTTTCATGGCCAGATTTTAGAAATTTGCAATTTTTTTTTGGTGGTATTTTTCACAAATTTCATTCGCTATATCTGGCTTGATTGGATCAAATTGACCTCAATGGGCTTGAATTGTAAAGTAAGCATGAAGTTTTATTCATGAAATTACTTCATATAAATGATCATACATAATATCAATAACATCAACAGGTTGATTAAAAAAACGAAAAAAAATCACAACTACACACAAGAAGCAAATAAAAACATATTAAGCAAGTAATATATATATATATATATATCTCATTGTAAACCACACCTCTCTCTTTCTTATGTGAATACATTAGTAATCAGTTTATATTTATATATCTTTTGAACTTCTTAATTGCAATTATGTTTTAATTTATGAATTCGTTCGGTACTTCACTATTGCATTAATAATCAAGTTTTGTTGTCAATCAATATTACATATTTCTTTGCATTGTTGCTATCTACTCAATTTTATCCCATAAGTCTTCACATAAAAAAAAGTTTCAACTTCTTTCAAGATCAAAGTTGTATCATAATTATTAGAGTATATATAATCATATCCCAATTAAATTCATTTGATTCATTTGCCAAATAATTTTTGGTGAACCTCAAATCATCACAACAAAGTAGGAAGATTAAAAATTAACTTCTACTAGATAGTCATAAAATTGAATTAGTAAAATGAAATTTTACAATATATGAAATATGTATTCATGAATTTGTTTTTGAAGATCATTGTAAGCCGAACACGTCACCCTTCAGCGTTTGTAGTCTAGGTGGAGGTTTCGGTTCATATAACATCATTGTTACTAGTCTCACTCAGTAGTTCAAGTGCACCCATGTCACTCATTTTCTTCCAAACACTCTTACTCATTTGAGATCTAAGCTTGAATATATCACTAAACATGAAACATCTGTACTTAATATCTTAGACTTATACACCATGCAAGGAAGAACAATTAACAACAGAATTCACAACTCAGAAGATCTGGTCATTTGAATGTATTTCACACACAATGGAATACCGTTCGTAGACAAAGGGTCCAATTTTGGCACTTACTGAAATGGACTCGAGTACCCATAATAAGTAAATGAGAAGTGTGACATCATGCCAAAAGTGCATGTCAGTTCGGAACTGGTTACATATCTCAAACATATGCATAACTTTTGATGTAGCACAATCTAAAGGCCTGGAATCTTATGATCTACCTCAGTTATAGTAGCATACTAAGGTACTATCCCTTCCCTCTTGTTCTTTCTTCCTGGCCTGTTCCTTCATCACTTCTTACTCTGATTCACCACTATACAAATCCTCCCTCTCTTCGTCTCCTCGCTCTCGGGAGACATCCATCTTAGATCTCAGACCTCGCTTTCAGATTTCACTTCGATTTCAGCTCATACTCTCAGATTCAACTCTCAGATCTGATCAGATTTCACTCTCGGATTTGACTCTCAGATTTCACTTCGATTTCAACTCCTTCTCAGATCCTACACTTTGATTTCAGCTCCCACTCTCAGATGCGACTCTCAGATTTCACTTCCCACTCTCAGATCTTACACTTCAATTTCAGCTCCCACTCTCAAATTCAACACTCAGATGTTACTCTCAGATTTCAGATCCCACTCTCAGATTTCAGATCCACCTTTCAGATTTCAGCTTCCACTCTCAGATTTCAGATACCACTCTCAGATCTGACTCTCTACCCTCGGTAATTCTCACCACTCACTTTCGGAATTCTCACCACTCACTCTGCCCCTGCGACTGATCCAACCTGTGTCCAAACACAATGACACCACTCCACATCGAATACCACAATCCCCGCAGCAGCCCGGCACAAACTGGCACCCCGCCTGTAATAACCCACTAAAGGCTAAAACTGTAATATAGTGGTAGAAAGGTCGAACCCACATGGACAGAGGCAACACACAAGGTACAAAGTGTCACATTTAACAGACTATTGAGGAGTTTGAATTCTCAGGCGACTGTCACTCCCAGAAGTACTGCAAGGGTCCACTCGGAGCTCACTCGGAGGTCGCATAGTGCAGCGTAGTTCACTCAACACACACACACACACACACACCTGAAACTACAGAAACACAACCCAGAGATCGGTTAGGACCTCCACTTAAGATTTCAGGGGGGAAAATCTCTCGCAAGTACACTCAGCAAATCTGCGGGTAGTGACTCCCAACTCCGGCTTTTACAACCCTTCCACTAGCTTTCTTCTAGCGTGGGGAACCCGGGTTGGACTTCCTACTTTGGATCGAAGTCACTCATACGCGGTGAACAACACGCTCAACTCACAAAACGCGTAGAGAACACATGTCCGCACGGAGGGACTCAACTGAGAAAACGATCCAGTAGCACATCATAACAGTCTATTGAAGAGTTTGAATTCTTAGGCACTTGTCATTCCCAGAAATACTACAGGGGTTACCCTGAAGGCACCTGCTGCAGCGTGACCTGAATTTACAACCAAGGCTTACTCGAAGTAGCAAAACTTCACTTTGGCATTCAGGGGAAAAATCCCGAAGGAGTACAATTAGAAACAATCACTCAAAAGTGTAAGGGGGAAACTGTTCAAGTATCTAACTCGCAACTGGCTCTGAGCATCGGCAATCATGTAATAACCCACCAAAGGCTAAAACTGCAGTATGGTGGTAAAAAGATCGAACCCACAGGGACAGAGGCAACACACAGAGTAAAAAGTGTCACGTTTAACAGACTTTTGTAGAGTTTGAATTCTAGGCGACTGTCACTCCCAGAAATACTGCAGTGCTCGACTCGGAGGCTCGACTCGGAGGAGGATCTCGACTCGGAGGATGCTCGGAGGATGCACGGTACAGCGTAGTCACTCAACACACACACACACACACACCTGAAAACTGGCAAAAGCACAACTCGGAGGTCGGTCAGGACCTCCGCTTCGGATTTCAGGAGGAAAGTGTCTCAAAAGTTCACTCAGAGGTTCTGCAGGTAGTGCCTCCCACTCCGGCTTTTACTGCCCTTCCGCCAGGAACTAGCGGAGGGTACCCGGACTGGACTTCCCACTTCGGAACGAAGCCTCTTCATACGCCGTGGACGTCACCCTCGACTCTCACACCAAACGCAGGGAGTGCAGACCCGACTGAGAACTTAACTGAGACACGATCCAGTAACACACACACAACCTGAATTGCAAACCAAGGCTTACACGAAGTAATAAAACTTCACTTTGGCATTCAGGGGAAACTTCCCGTAGGAGTACAATCAGGATATGTCACTCGAAGGAGTAAGGGGGAACTGTTCAAGTATCTAACTCGCAGCCGGCTCTGAGCATTAGAAATCACCCGCAGGTGCAGATCCGCACTACTCAAGTCTCTAACCGGGTACTAGCTCTGAACATTCAGCCGAAGGCCTTCAACTACAACATACGGTAACTTCGCTATGCTGCAGCTTCTCTACGTGGTGCCAGGACCAAAAATGCACAAACACGCCAAGAAAGTGAGTTCCTGATCTGCACTTCCGAAACTGGAAGAGTCCCAAGGCAAAACGCCTTGATCTACTTTATACCCTCAAAGGTCCTAACTAGCACTACGCTATCCTATCTACTACTCGCAACATCTGCGCGAAACCAAACTATACTACTGCACTCGGCGGATCCGGTGCTGCGCCTCCTGCGCGCCGGACTGCTCCGCTCGCTGTCTCTACCTTGCCAGTCTTCCGACCAGCTGCGCAACCCCAGGCGTCGGAGGGCTGCAGTGACTTCCGACTCTAAGTGCGCCATAGTGTCGCGCGCACCCGACAAGAAGGTTTCTAATTTCCTCGCCACTCGCCGCCGACTCCGACTGTCACCCTCCGTCAATGCCGCCGCCCGAAGCTCGAACTCCCTTAGTGTGATCCTCTCTTGAGCTGCCACCTCCCAATGGGCGTATCCTTTTAGGCAGTGAGTCACCCGCGTCGCCAACTCTTCTCGCGCCCTGCAGCTGCCTTCCACCTCTGCTAGCTGCATTTCCGCTTCCGCACGCTGCGCCCTCAAATCCGAGCACTCGGATTGCAAGTTGCGCAACAACTCCTCATCCTCCTTGCGGGCTCTTTGACTTTCTTCTAAGGCGCGCGTCTGGCGCGCAAGCTCGGCTGCTAGGATGCGGTTTTGTCTCCGCTCTTCCTGCAATTCCGACTCGATCTTTGCCCGCATTAGCTCGGCATCCGCCTGACTTTTCGTCGCCGCATCCTCCCTCTGCTGCTGCAAGGCTTGGTATAGCTTCTGTGTGACCGCCAGGTGTTGTCGGAGGGCGGTGTTCCTATCCACATATACTTGGCACCTAGAGGCCCAAATGGCCACCTTGCTCCTCGTCCTTCGCTTGATAGTCTCCACATAAGACTGCGGTTTTCCAGTACCCGAGTACTTGGATGTCTTGCGATCCAGATATCGCAGGAGTGGGACTATCTGCTCGCACAACACCCCTGTTGGC